AAAAATTCAAACTTCTTTAATTAAATTTGTATATATGACAATAATATTAAAATTAATATTAACTTTTATATTTTTTATATAAATTTATACAATAATAAAAATATTAAATAAATAATTTTTTTCTAAAAAAAATTTCAAACTTACGTGTTTAAAATGCAAGAAAAAAACACTTAAAAAAATTCAAACTTCTTTAAATTTATGAAGTGTTAAATTAATTCGACAAAATATTTTCATCCATTGAATTTCATCAAACCGTGCTATTAAAGTGCATAAGAATAATATTATTTTAACGCGATTTTCGAAAATGAAAAATAGTAATAAATAATTAAATTAAATAAGCATCCTTAGAAAATAGTATAATTTCTGCTTTGACCCACTGAAAAACTCCTCCTGGATCCCAGTCCCCACACTCAAAAAAAGCTCACCTTTACCCCATCCCTCATTCCGCATCCTTCAAACATTTCTAGGGTTCCGTTTTTGCTCGCCGATGGCCGAAGTCATTAACACTCCGGTGGACTCCCTCGATCGCGGTGTCGATGGAAAGGACAACGACGACAACGACAACAATAGCAAACCACCCCAGTCTTCCGACGAACCCAATGCTTCTTCTCCGCCTCCCACTCAGGTGCATCCTGTCAAGCGACGGGAGCGAGACTCGCGCGAACGTCGGGACCGAGACTACTACGAAGGCAACCGCTCTCCTCCTCCTCCCCCGCCTCCGAGAGATAGGGATTATAAGCGAAGGAGTAGCGGCAGTCCTCCACCGCCTCTCCCGGGTTATAGAGATAGGAGGCGCTCGCCCCTGCCACGGAGGTCTCCGCCGTATAAGCGTTCCAGGCGAGAGGATGGAGGTTATGAGGGGAGGAGAGGTAGCCCGAGAGGTGGATTTGGGATTGGTGATAGAAGGTAATTTTTCTTGGGTCCCTGAAATTTTGAATTGATGGTGAATTTGTGGCCAACTTCTGAGTACAATATTGGAGTTATAGTTGGGGCCTTTGCTTGGTTTTGTCAAATAGGTCCGAGAGAGTTTAGCTGGAGATTGATGTTCTGTTTGGCTACTAGGATGATGCAAGGGATTAGATGAAATGTGGCTTTTGGGTTTTTTAGTTGTATAGGACTTGTGAATTCAATGCAAGAAATTTACTGAGCCGAGCTTTGCTTTCATTATTTTTTCTTACTTTCATTATTTTGCTTGCAATCACTGGACATGATGGGGATGCACTTACTAGCTTTAGATGTTTTCAATTTACTGAAAAAAGTATCAGCATTCAGTAACATCCTGGATTCTGCCTTCTCTTTATCTAAATATCCATTATTTGTGAACCAAACTAAGGACATGGTGGAATTCAACCCGAATAGTTAGGCTAGAAGCTAGTCCTGAAATGATTTGTTTGTGGGTTGGGTTATACTTCCTAACATCAATATGGTCAATTAAGGGAGTTTAAAT